TCAGAGGGGTGGGGGAACTATCAAGTGAAAGCGCCAATCCATTACGACTATATAGCACTCGTAAGGGATAAGGATACGGATTTGGGATGGGACGGGAGAAAGGAATGGTGCCCAACCTCTTGGGCGGTCGGGGATTGAACGCGGACCTGTAGGAAACGAGTGTGTATATATATATATACAGCCAGTGTGTATATATACATGTTAGGCTTATACCAAGGTGCCACAAAGGTGCCAAATTAAAGACTGGGAGCTGCCGGGGGGGGCCCAAGGGCTGCTGGCGGCCCTGGCCAGGCTGAACTTCCGCGCCCTTATAATCACCATTGTTTAATAATCTTAACAGGGAGAAACCACTGTAGTTTATTACAACTTACACGGTAAAGAAAACAGCTCGGAAACTAAGGAAATAAAGCTGCTGAAAAAACATTAACGTTCACTTCAAGTTCAAGTATGTTTATTGAGACAATAAAAAAATACATCTCAACGGAATAGAGTAGCTTAGGCTATTTATACCCCCTTCAAGTCCCTCAAGGGGCGCACAAATTCAGTGAGTACAAATACACAAATCACAATACAAGAATCCCATTTAACATACCAGGTTAAAATAGGAAGCACATCATATAAGTGTTACAAGTGAGTTACAAGTTACAAGGGAACAAGTGATATATATATATATATATATATATATATATATATATATATATATATATATATATATTATATATATATATATATATATATAATATGTGTGTGTGTATGTGCAGAAATAATATTAATAAAACAATTAACATCGTGTAGTGTACTCTATACATCAAAATATATTACTTTGAAACCCATATCATTCACTAAAAAAAATTGGGCTACTCTTATTACAAATTCGCTACTTTTAGACCGTCAGCTCGCTACTTTCAGCAATTTAGATCTGGCAACCGTGCTCTTGTGTGTGTGTGTATATTTATATAATTTCTCTCTCTCTCTCTCTCTCTCTCTCTCTCTCTCTCTCTCTCTCTCTCTCTCTCTCTCTCTCTCTCTCTCTCTCTCTCTCTCTCTCTCTCTCTCTCTCTCTCTCTCACCTCTCGTAGAAGTTATAGTTCTTAAACTGCCTTTGTTAACAATGCTCATTAAAATTATAATGTCACTTATTAAGATGTGTGTACAAGGCTGTGTAGATCATATATCATTAAACCTTCTTCATCATTATAAACCTTCATATATCATTAAACCATTCGTAAAAGGGATAAAGCTCCACAAAGCTCTCAAACACAACTTTGATGGTTAAATCACAGAACTACACTAGCCTGACCTGTAATGGTGCAACACTAGGATGACATAACTCATGGAACAACACTACTAGGATTACATATAAATCCCCTACATATGGATAACACATCAACTCACGTCACTAGACCATTGGATTTAATTCAGCGCAGAGAACAGCACATTTCAAATTTGGATCTCCACACTAGGCTGGTTATAAACTCATTTTGTTAAACGTTGATGCGTTCAGAGTAAGATTTCTGCCTTACTGATTAGCTTGTTTTGATACAAATAAGACAAACCATAGCCTGATAAGCACATGTTCACAGAGGAGTTTGTTCCTCTGTTCGAATCTGCAGAGGAAACAATCACGAATCGGCGTGGACCCGGAGGTAACTTGGGGTTCTGTAAGAGATTTTGATCAATAGGCTAATTCTAATCATATGCAAATGTATTTTAAGTCATTTAAGTGTTTAATGTCTCTCATTTAACCAGTATCAAGAGCAAAACCAGAAATAGCCTCCTTTCAGTTGACAATGAAATCCTCAAATGTGTTTATCAAAATTTCAACCCCGGAATGATTACAGGAGTCAAATCTTCACCGGCATCAATAGTTATGTATTTCACATTCATTTAAAAGTTTGTGGACTAGATTGAAATTGTATCCGGTCACTCCACAAAAGCACTGGTGTTGTTTTTAATCTCAAACAAGTAACGCCATATAATTTGAGTAAAACACGGAACATAGCATCATTAAGTACGCTTTCTCTCTGGCTTGTACTTGATGGCTAGGCTTGAGGGTATACGAGGCGGAGTAGCACTTGAGCCTATAGCTACTCAAGAGTGCTGCTTCTCGCTACACTCTTGAGTGTGACGAAATGCAGTCACCATAAAATTGTGCTGGCTGGATATTTCCGTGTGTAGATGTCACCATTTGCAACTTTACCTATGTTGATGTCATCGTCACCGTCTGCAACTTTACCTGTGTTGATGTCACCGTCGTCGTCATCGTCTCACGAATTGGCGAACGTCAACTTTGAAGCCAAATCCGAAGCCTACAAGCCGAGGTAACCCACATAAGGTATCGAGCGCGAGGCCCACTAGCCAAATAAATGCCAGTATTGCGGAGATTTTATTTTCAATAAAACCCGCGCAAATGTGACACTCTGGTCGATCGCGTCCAAATTGTGGTGCATTAAGTGTGAGGACAGGGACGAACAGGAAGCAATCAAGATAAATAGAGTATGACTCGGTGCCAGCGTGGAGGGTGCCAGCGTGGGGGTGCCAGTGTGGGGGGTGCCAGTGGGGGTGTTCCAGTGTAGGGAGTGCCACCGTGGTGCTCAGGAAAGTATGATGTGTTTCTACCTACCATTCAAATGTGATATTTAACAGAGTGGAATGATACTGAGGTTAAAGTCATGATTTAATAAGCTGGCACTTACTATATCCATTCCCAGCTATTGTAACCCAGAGGCAGATGTTAACCTGATCCATAATTGTTACTATATACAATAGCCCTTAATTGTAATGTTATCTCCAAAATAGAGACGTTGTGCGTGCCTGTCTCAGGAAAATCTTGGGGATGTAAGAATAAAATGTCTTGTAAAATAGTGTGGAAAATTATCACTGATCAAAAACTAGTATAAATTAAAGTAAACCTTTGATCGCAAGTGGGCTAATTGCGTAGGTTAATTCTCCATCACTAGGCTAATTCTCCATTTTTTTGTTATGTATGCACAAACCCAAATTTTTAACGCATCTCTTCGAATATAATTGCTCTAAGTGTGCCAATATATATATATATATATATATATATATATATATATATATATATATATATATATATATATATATATATATATATATATATATATATATACATACATACACATTAAAAAATAAATAAGATGCGAAATGGAGTGTATATGCCTTATTTCGAATGATTACTAAGTCAGAGTCGGTTAGCAAATATTGTAACAGTAGAATGCACCATGGAAATTCAGCCGGAAGAAAATAAACATGGAGGACATGATCACGGTATACAAGGTACTTACCTATAAAATCAACAAGGGAGATATATATTCCTTGACATATTAGGGACATAGGCGGAGACTGAAAGGAGTTGCTGGTGCTGGAGCCTGCGAGCACATTGTACATCCTCAAACAGGCAGCTGGAACCTGATCCTCAAAAGGAAGGCTCAAGGCAGGCTAGGAGAAACCCCCCCACGGCTCAAGCCGAGTCAAATCCCCTTTCAAAGTCATTCCATCACCTTCCATCAGCCATGACACCTGCTCCATACACCCGATGCAGAGACGCCTAACATTTTCTTCACAGCGGAGCGCTCTGAGCACTAATATCTTCTTTCTCATACACAGATGTGACGCAACTGCAGCTGCGAGGCAGGCGGAGTTATGGCAAGATTTAAAAATTGATATGCAGGTCGGTGGCGTTCTCAACAGGCGAGGAGTTAACGTTTTTGTGAGGCGGCAGACCTCTGCTTCCCAGTTTATCCTGTGTCTCTCTCGCGGGTGTTGTCAGTAAGTGACATTCATTTTATATTTGTTTACGTTCAGGGTTTAATATCTTTACATTCGGAGGGGGATTGTAAATGATGCATGTGGTTGACTATATGAGAATGTGTGAGATGGGGGTTAGCATCTCCACATTACCACCTCACCACCACCACCCGGCCCACTACCACCACCTGGCCCACTTCCACCACCTGACCCAGTCTGAGAGGAAACAAGACGTGGGAATGGATATATTTCCAACACTAACACCAGAGGCACATGTAATGATGGTAATATCGCCGGTATATACGAACCTGACAAAAATTAGAACATTTAAAATCTAAATAAGGAGTTTTCCAGACAATCTACAGCCTATGTGAGGGTAATACTAAAGCATGCTGCACCGGCATGGAATCAACGCCCCCCGGAAGCACATAATTAAACTTTATATAGGGCTACGAGGAAACTGTCTCACAATCCTAGAGGTGATAAGGAACAGACTGGATATGATTACTATATGCAAGATACTGAGGTAAAAAGATGCGATGGACAAGGATAGTCTTTTAAAATTGGAAAAAGTATAAAAAGAGAACATAAATGCTGGAGAAGCAGATGATTCAATTAAATTAAATGAAATACTCGTACTTTGTACAGAATGTAAACAAGGGAATTGCACTGTAAGAAGCTGTGGAGACCACCACTTTCCACAACTTTAAAACCAAATTCGGTAAATAACTCCAACACTAGAAACGAAGCAAAAAAAGCAACAGGTACAAAAAGGCCTGTAGGCGGGGCATAAAGAGCTAGGTCTCACTCCCCCTGTAGCCACTGCCTGTTAGGTATGTTCTGTTAGATAAGTACCACCACCATCGCTACTACCTTCACCACCTGCGCCACCACCACCACCACCACCTGGCTCACCATACCTGGCACACCTCCCAGCTGGTGGCCTAATGTGTTGTTCAGCTGCCCCTTCTCTCTCACCTCTCCGGCAGCCTAAGCCACCTGCCCCACACTCCCAATGTTCCAAATCTTCCCTCCCCCCTCTCCTCTCCTCCCCTTCACCCCTACCATTCGCAGGGCCCCCCTCCAAACGTCCCTCCGCAGAGCCTCTAAAAAAGAGTTTTATCGGCTATAAGTCGGCCAAGGTAGGGTAGGCGCGTGCCGATGCGCAGCTGTTTGCCGCTGTTATAAGTGTGGGTGAAGCCCCCCTTCTATCCAGTTGCTCGCTGGTTGTGGTAGTGGGAGGGTGTGTCGCTCCTCCCCTGCCTCTTATCACCAGCCGGGCTACCCCTCCACACACATTCGCACTCTTCCTCGCTACTCCTCAAGGACTCGCCACGCTACTCCTCGAGGACTTTTCCCACTCGATGCTGACACTTGTACGGCCGTTTCTTCAGTATATAATAAACGCTTTAGTGGGCCTCAGTATCGCACTTTCGTCTGGGGAATCTAACCTTTGGCTTCACACAGAAATTGTTCGCGTCGATTTTTCCCCTCAAGTTCGACTTTGTGGAAGTTCGCTGACGCTCAAGTTGGAGGAATCAGCCGCGCTTAAGTTGGAACTTGATGAGTGAGTGGCGCTTGAGGTGAGACTTGACGAGGGAGTAGAGCTTTCGAGGTGGAAGTTGACGAGTGAGAGGAGCTTGAGGTGGAACTTGACGAATGGCGCTTGAGGTGGGACTTAATGAGTGGGCGGCGCTCGAGGTGCAACTTTGACGACGAGTGAGTAACGCTTGAGGTGGGACTTGTTGACAAGTGCAGGGATTGTGGGTATTGAGTGAGTGAGTGAGTGAGAGATCTGGCCGAGCCGCCCACGACGCACTCTTAAAAACACCTACCTGCTCGGCACGCACTCAATGACCATCTAATTAAGCAATTAACTACCGCGGGACGACCAGAGCCGCCCCCGCCCCCAACAGCCTCGTTGAGGAGCACCGCCCAGAAGCCCAGGTAGGTGGCCCCCTTCACCTCATTCACCACCTGCACTCACCACCTGTACTCACCACCTGCACTCACCACCTGTACTCACCACTTGCACTCACCACTTGCACTCACCACTTGCACTCCGCTGCGATGGTGTCAAAGGCTTTCTTCCAGGGAGGAGTTCTCTGAAGGTGACTTGGGTGACCGTCGGCCTCACCTTCACTGCTAATGAGCTGGCTGGAGAAGCTTCAGGTAGGAATATGATTATGGATCTCGACAACAGTCGATTGGTGTTGTTTCGCCAGGTAAATCCCAGTGTTGGTGATGATTAATCCCTCATGTTGGTGATGGTTAATTCCAGTGTTGGTGTTGGTTAATCTCTCGTGTTGGTGATGGTTAATCCCAGTGTTGGTGATGGTAAATCCCTCGTGTTGGTGATGGTAAATCCCAGTGTTGGTGGTGGTTAATCCCTCGTGTTGGTGATGGTAAATCCCTCGTGTTGGTGATGGTAAATCCCTCGTGTTGGTGATGGTAAATCCCAGTGTTGGTGGTGGTTAATCCCCGTGTTGGTGGTGGTAAATCCAAGTGTTGGTGATGGTAAATCCCAGTGTTGGTGATGGTTAATCCCAGTGTTGGTGATGGTTAATCCCAGTATTGGTGATGGTAAATCCCGCGTGTTGAGGGTAAATCACCCGTGTTGGTGACGATAAATACCCCGTGTTAAGGGTAAATCTCTCGTGTTTCTGATGGTAAATCCCCCGTTCTGAGGGTATATCCTCCATATTGGTGATAGTAAATCCCTCATATTGGTGAGGATAAATCCCCCCGTTAATTATAGTCACCCTCCCGTGTTGGTGATGGTAATTCTCCCCTGTGTTTTACCATTGGTCAGGGTAAATCCCCATATAAATGTCATCACACGCAGTGACTGACTTTTATGAACCATACTGTAATGTCAAAAAGGCTTAGGCCTAGTTTCTGAAAAGTATCGTCCCTTGCCCGCTTACGTCCAGCTCCAGGCCTCTGTTTGTACTCTTAGTACCAACAGTACGTTGTCTCTGTTGTCAGTACCGTTACCAATTTAGTTACGCGTTAGTTTTAACTACCTTCCGGTGGCGTAATAGTTGTTCATGGCTTAACTGGCATTCGTGGTTTACCTACCTACCGTCCGTGGTTTAACTTGAAGCTGTAGCTTGGGTTTCGTGTGAAGGTAGGGAGAGAGAGGGTGAGAGCGGCTCTCTCCCTGGCTCTCACTGGCCAGCCTGTCAGTGAGAGCCTGGGAACTCTTAAAATAAGCCTAGCCACCCCCTCCTCCCCTCCCCCCTCTGCTTTGTTTCCATGTGTCTATCACAGTTGAACCGGTTTCCGCGCTCAGGGGAGATTGGTTTGTGTGGATCCTCTTCCCTGTCTCTCTACCCCACACTCACTGGTCTGTGTGGGTTGTTGCTTCTCCATGTGGCTCTACCCACACACTGGTCTGTGGGGGTTGTTGCTTCTCCATGTGGCTCTACCCACACACTGGTCTGTGTGGGTTGTTGCTTCTCCATGTGGCTCTACCCACACACTGGTCTGTGTGGGTTGTTGCTTCTCCATGTGGCTCTACCCACACACTGGTCTGTGGGGGTTGTTGCTTCTCCATGTGGCTCTACCCACACACTGGTCTGTGGGGGTTGTTGCTTCTCCATGTGGCTCTACCCACACACTGGTCTGTGGGGGTTGTTGCTTCTCCATGTGGCTCTACCCACACACTGGTCTGTGGGGGTTGTTGCTTCTCCATGTGGCTCTACCCACACACTGGTCTGTGGGGGTTGTTGCTTCTCCATGTGGCTCTACCCACACACTGGTCTGTGGGGGTTGTTGCTTCTCCATGTGGCTCTACCCACACACTGGTCTGTGGGGGTTGTTGCTTCTCCATGTGGCTCTACCCACACACTGGTCTGTGTGGGTTGTTGCTTCTCCATGTGGCTCTACCCACACACTGGTCTGTGGGGGTTGTTGCTTCTCCATGTGGCTCTACCCACACACTGGTCTGTGGGGGTTGTTGCTTCTCCATGTGGCTCTACCCACACACTGGTCTGTGGGGGTTGTTGCTTCTCCATGTGGCTCTACCCACACACTGGTCTGTGGGGGTTGTTGCTTCGCCATGTGGCTCTACCCACACTCACTGGTCTATTTGGGTTGTTGCTTCTCCATGTGGCTCTACCCACACACTGGTCTGTGTGGGTTGTTGCTTCTCCATGTGGCTCTACCCACACACTGGTCCAGATTACTCCTTCAGGGATTAATGTTAAACGGCAATTCATATTTCTCTATTAGCGTGAGGCGCTCCTCTGGGTGCGTCCATTCAAGCAAACGCAGTGGCATGCGTTGTTTAAATTTAGTTCACGCTTGCTTGCCTCCTGATTTAAACAACCTGGCATGTGTTCTAGTATTTCAAACACTAATTGCTTGCTCCCCAATTAGTACAAAACTGTTCCGCTTGCGCGTTGTTTGTTCAAAATTGTCATTTTTGCGCCTTTATTAGTTGAAATCATTTCACTTTTCATCCTGTTAAAGCACAGTTTCATTCGTTATACTAGTTCGAAACGTTCCTGCATTAGTTTTATTAGTTCGAAACGTCCCTGGATTAGTTTTATTAGTTCGAAACGTCCCTGGATTAGTTTTATTAGTTCGAAACGTTCATGCATTAGTTTTATTAGTTCGAAACGTTCATACATTAGTTTTATTAGTTCGAAACGTTCATGCATTAGTTGTATTAGTTCGAAACGTTCCTGCATTAGGTTTATTAGTTCGAAACGTTCCTGCATTAGTTTTATTAGTTCGAAACGTTCGTGCATTAGGTTTATTAGTTCGAAACGTTCCTGCATTAGGTTTATTAGTTCGAAACGTTCCTGCATTAGGTTTATTAGTTCGAAACGTTCCTGCATTAGGTTTATTAGTTCGAAACGTTGCTGATCTTTTATTATCACCACTGAGGATGAGCACAGAACAACATGGCGAGGTGTTCACGTATTCACTGACACCATTATTATATTTACCGAGACAAGGCCACACACAATCCTTGTGCCGTGTCTGCAGGAATTTCTGGAGGTGTAGCAACCATGCAGCCAGTGTTTCTGGCGATGACTCTCCCCAAACACTCCAAGTATTCCCATTACACCAACGACTCCTTCAGGCGGCGCTGTCGTCTTCACACACTCGCCTTCGTGGATCTCAATCCCTCGCAACTCCAGATATACCTTCAAACACACGCGACTCCAAATATCCCTTCAAAACACACGCGACTCCAAATATCCCTTCAAACACACGCGACTCCAAATATCCCTTCAAACACACAGATTGTTGGCGAACAGTGTGACTTGGAGCAAACTGTTTCTAGCCCCATCCCCCATCCCCCATCCCATCCCTATTCCCTTCAGCACCACCAATCAATCATTTCAGAACTTGTGTCAAAAATGGTTACACTCGGGCAAACCAGTTTCTCTCTCTCTCTCTCTCTCTCTCTCTCTCTCTCTCTCTCTCTCTCTCTCTCTCTCTCTCTCTCTCTCTCTCTCTCTCTCTCTCTCTCTCTCTCTCTCTCTCTCTCTCTCAGCACCAACACAGTTCCTCTGTCAACCATGTCAATAGATCCTCCACCTCCCCCCGCTCCTCCCTCAGTCACAACCCCCAACACAGCCTCACACTAACAGCCTCTCGGCCGCAGACATTAGTTAACGACTGCTATAACTCTCCTCCCTCCCCGGAGAAGTGGCCGAGGCGGGGAATAATACGCACACATCTGCGTTACTCTTCACCCCTCTGACACAAACACCGGCGGATAAGCTGTATCATCAACATACGTTACCTACTCAACTTGCAACATTTAACGAAACAATGAGTAGCATTAATGCGGCACTCCGTAGCCTACTGCATGAAAGATTCCCCAGACACGCATCACGTACATTCGTAAATATGGGAAGTGGCGATGTTTGGGGTGGGTCGTGGACCGTTATCACCTCGTGTACAGCAAGAGTCGTAGTCAATATATAAGATAACAATGTGAGGCGGAAGGGAAGAAGTATGCAATAACAGTTAACATGAATACAGAAAACTGCAAAAGGCCTAATAGAAATTGGAGAGGGGGAGATAGTGGTGAAATATGAAATTGAGACAAAGAATAGATAGCAACAAAAGATAAAGAAAATAGACACTTGGGGGTTTAAAACTTCAAGTCTGATCATGTGTGTTAAGATTAATGTATGATTATTATCAGTAAGGAAAGGTGTTTTCTTATCAATTGTGGTGTTACCTTTAGCTGGGGAGGCCTGGGGTGGGGCCAGAGTTCGAGCCTCTTGTATTGCTCCTAAATGTTCTCGTTGATCCATCGGGCTGTTGTGCTCTAAGTCAGCATCATCAAGAGGGTCTATGGTTGAGCAAGAATCTGAGAGGTTGCAGAGGCGGCCAGCTCACGACCACACTGATATTGACTGTACTGCTCCACGTTCATTAATACATTTGGAAGGCAATGGGTCGTACACATGTTAGTCAACCATCTGTAGTTCTGAATGTTGCAAAGCCTCAACACACACACACACACACTCACACACACACACACACACACACACACACACACACACACACACACACACACACACACACACACACACACACAGTAAATGGAATGCATTAGGAAGTGATGTGGTGGAGGCTGACTCCATACACAGTTTCAAATGTAGATATGATAGAGCCCAATAGGCTCAGGAATCTGTACACCAGTTGATTGACGGTTGAGAGGCGGGACCAAAGAGCCAGAGCTCAACCCCCGCAAGCACAATTAGGTGAGTACACACACACACACACACATATAATTCATAATTTCAAAACCAGGTATGTTAGGGAAATGGGACAGGAGTCATTGCTGTAAACAACCGATGCTCGAAAGGCGGGATCCAAGAGTCAATGCTCGATCCTGCAGACACAACTAGGTGAGTACACACACACACACGTATGCATTGTATTATTCATTCAAAACATGAATTAATAGCAGC